CCTTCTAAATAAAAAAAATATTCACTTTTATCAAACTTGAACATTTTGCACTCTCATATTGAAGGAATGTGTGTAAGAATCAGATGGCCGAATTTTAGCAAAACTTACTATAGTAAATCCCATAAGCACCTGCAGCTCCAACGAAAGCGCCAAGTGTTTGGACTATGATATATATAAAGAAATCGCGTACAGAAAGTCTGCCAAAAGTGACCATTGCCAACGAGACAGCAGGATTATAATGTCCACCTGAACTTTTGAAACATAAGAAGACTACATTCCCCCCTTTTCTGATGGTGTAGAAGGGTTACCTGACGTTTTAGCGCAACAATATACTGTAAAAGATATGGCGAAACCCCAACCGAAGTTGATTTGAACCCAAGTGTTTAGTCGCTCATTGGATAGCACAAATTGCATTACAATACCAATACCAATAAACTGCAAATCGTAGAGTTTGCATCCTTACTTTCAGAAATCCTTAGCTATGAAGTTACCAGGAGCAGAAAGGTGCCAAAAAATTCCGAAAGTGCATTCCGAACCCATGGTGTTCGTATATGTATTGCTTCACGTAATAAGTCTGGGATAAACACGGGTTTATCCCTGTCGGTGGCTTCCTGACAGGAAAATCCACGAAATTGATTGGAATCTTTGATAATGCAAAGAGGCAATGGCTACTTACATTCGACATCATGCTGGTACGATGAGCCACCACCCACCACTGAAAAAGAATGCAAATGAACCTACCCGCGCTTTTGCTACTTCATCAGAGTTGGAATGCTTACGTCTAGTTTTGAATGAATTGATTAGTATCCTATCAATCATTCCATTTTGACAAATGTGGATTTCATTTATAGGTTTAGCTAACTCCTCACTCAACTGTCAGGAGAATCTGTTGAGGTACTAATCGCAGAGCAAATGGCTTCGCTCAAAAGAGAACGGTATCAATAGGCCAGGGAAAGGCTTTTTGCTACTTGTCAAAAAGTTTTTGAGAGTTTAGGTGTTGATCGAGAAAACTTAAAATAATGATATAATATAGCTATCAC